GCGAGTGGACCTGCACCAGTAGTTGAAGGAGGGGGGGAGGGAGGGGGGGTGGGGAAGGGAGTGTAGTCAGCGCTCCCGTGATCCTGTACTGTAACCCATAGCTTTTCCGAGACGATGGGAATGGTGCAGGAAAGCGCTACCGGTCAACACGATGGGAATGATGCAGGAAAGCGCTACCGGTCAACTAAAACGGGCTGATAGATTAAAGCCATGAAGTCAACAGGACGTTCCATACTGGTTTCAAAGGTTCTGTTGAAGTAAGAGCGCTGGTTGAGCTTTATCCTTAAACGGGGCCCATCTTCACCCTTGATTTTAAATATTTCCTGCTACATTCCACATAATCGATAATTTTTTTTTCGGACAGAACTTGTCGGAAATAGAAGGCTCTCGATTTATTCGGGTAATCTGATTCGTTTGGTAATCCATTTTTCAGGTCATGCGATTGTTCAAAATTGTTCAGTTCGACAACATTTCCCAAGAATTACTGTTTAATCGTACTCCTTGATAAGAAACAATCTCTTCACTTTAGTTTTCTTTAATCACTCATTTCTGGAGGCCACCCTTTACCCACTTAGAATGTGATACGAAATAGTTTTCCATTTTGTTTTATTACTGAGTTGTGAGAGAGAAGTTTGTTAACCATGACTACATTATTACTGATCTCCCTTCATTCTGCTCATGTGATTCACCTCAAGGGATCAAGTAGTATCATATAGTATAGAAACTAACCTCTCACCTTTTCGAGGGTTTTTAAGCTCACCTATTTACCACTTTTCAATGGAATAACTTTCCTTAAGAAAAAGGGGTTTGTATAGTTCCCACTAGTTCATTCATCAGGGATAGCGACGGGATCGATCCTCAGTTATTCGCTTTATTCGCTTTTTGAAACTTCAGTGCAGGATGCTTACCCACGGGAATATATGGAAATGAAGGAAAGGCTGAGGTACTGAGCACGACAGAGCTCGGTGACAGCAAATACGGGACTTTTGGCTCCCACTGAGAGGGGAGCCATTTCAGAAGTAGAGCAGGGCGCTCATTCGATCAGTTCGAGGCGTCACCGTGTCCAGTGTGAGCGAGTTTTCTTGAGCTATTCAGAACTCGTCCTTGGAGATTTCGTAGTGAAGTATAGGACGTTAAGGCTGCTTTTCTTTTGCGTTCGTTCATCTGCCCTACTTTGAGGTCGCAGTTCTGAAACTTAGCAAAGGTTGTTCTTCTCATTCGTAGGGGCAGGACCGGCTCTGGGGCTGGGTTCCGGGCGAATTGATAACTCAGAGGTCAAGAAAATATCAGAAACTGTTCCCAGTGCCTTATACGCATAACCGGTTTATCCTTGCCTTTCGTTCCAACTTTCTAAGTTGGTTCGAATTCAGTCGCTTGAACAAATTATGAAAGTTGTGGATCGATTCCGCCGAAAATTACGAAATTTGCTCAAAACCTCAAACACTGAACTTGATTTTCTTCCATGAAGCTGCCTACTTAGTAGTTATTTTCATAGGTTATGGCCATTTCACTATTTTGTAACCATCTCATATCAGTACAATCATTGTAAACCTCTTAATTGTATGTGTTACTGTTTGTTAGTTTTACATATGAATGCCGATGTGATTAAATTTGTGATGTTTCCTATGAAAACTACCGAACTATACCAAGTCATCATTACAATGTCTGCCTTTTCAATTGGACTGCTTGTGAAAGCCTTAGGTGCTAGTTTTGTACCGATAAATCATTTTTTGACATCGCCTGTGTGATAGAAAGTGGCCTGTGACAGGTGGCGCTGCCACAAACAGATATCTGAAGGAATCTCACTCATACTATAGAAACTGTTACTTTAAGCCCATTGGGAGACAGTCCTTGAAGATTAGATTTGTGACGTTTCCACGACGGGAAGGGGCCCAGGAAATGTGGTATAAGGGCTCTCAGTTCGGTTGTCGTAGTAGGAACTCCCACCGAAGGACGAGTCAGCCGACTTCCAGTCGTCTGCCCTCCCTCACAGAGGCAATGCTTGACGGCGTTCAGCGCTGGCCAATGTGACCTCGTTCGAAGCCTGTATTTTAATCGATTGATTTTTTCATGTTCTATTTCAGTTATTTCAAAGTATTCGAAAAAAACTTCAAAGCCCTAAATCAAAAACTACTCAGTCGGGATAGGAGATCAGCGAAGAACGATAACGGACACTTTTTTTGCTATCGATGCATTAGTTTGCATAAAAACTTGCATTTTTGAACTAGTAACCATGCGTAATGAGTGAAAGAAGGAAGCGTGATCCTGATTAGGAAGTGTTTAGCATCCAAGAGCTCAAGGGCTTCCAAAAAGTTTCAAAAGTTGGTCGTGAGAAAGCATTGTATGCATGCGAATTAGTAAATCTGGGCGATCAAACAACCAACTAAATAAGAAGAGAAAAAAATTGTTCTCGAATGAAACTCCACTACGGGAACTGAATCACCTTAGTACCACTTCGATCCAACACCCCGTTCCAAAGACGAGTCTTTGCTCGACCTCTTTTCACCCTTTTATTAATTTCTTTTCACCCTTTTGTCTTTTGCATATTTTGCGAGTAACGACTCTGTACAAGAGGGAAGTTCCTTTCTAGCGGAACAAGTAGAATCCATGTCGTAAATTCCTGGCTGTAAGTCTCAATCGGCGTGTATCGCTTTTTTTGTTAGCTGATTAGACCTCATTATGAAACAAAACGATACTTCAGTAAGAGGGACAGAAAGGTAGTTACGTTATGGACTGGTATAACATCCCAACTGAATTCTTCGCTCTGTCAGGACGTACTGGCTTGGACGGTATTACCTGATATCTGTCAATACCAACAGGTTATTATTGTAATCAATGATTTAGCTTTGTGTGATGCCGCCGAATGAAGCTCTATATCGCATTGCCCGCCCGCCGCATCCACTATTTGCACAGCTACCCTGCTACCGTATCCCGATCCCGATCATGGAAGGAGGAGGAGGAGGAGGAGTCAGTATTGAGCAATCGCTCAATCAAACTGACAGTCGACTACAGCTGTGAGCATATACGTCACCTGTCCAATTCTCTCTACATCGCTTAAAATTCTTCAGTTTTCGACAATGATTTTTCATAATTTACTGAATTCTAATCCATTTGAACTCCAACTTTTTTGAAGTTTTCAAAAAAGGAGACTGTAAAGCTTAATCAGTTCCCAGGGAACCCAAGAAGCATTAGTGAATTTTCATGGAAATTTGTTGATTCAATGGATTTATCAAAGCCGTGAAGCTCATGGGGAATCAGGGGAGTTCCGTTTGGTTTGTTGCCAGTTCGATCCAAAAACAGAGCTCATGTATCCTTTTTTGGGAGTATTGAGAGACAGTGGGCTTCGGCACCATTTTTGAGCCCGTAGTGCACACTATCTGAACCGCTTTAGGACTTGGCAATGCTCATGTGGTCTTCAACCGAGCCAAAGGTTCATAACGGAAGGAATCTTCGAGACCATTTTTATCCATGCCTTTAGACTATAAACTGTTCATCTAACGGATCAGATAAACCAACCAGCCGTTCAAAGTCTCTGAATGGCAACAGTTCGGTCTGGGGCTCATAGAAAATTCTTGATCATATTGAATACCACTAAAATCCGGATAGGAGTGCATGGCGCATGGCGTATCATTGCGAAAAATTGTTTTTAGATAGATTTTAGTGGTTGGGTGATGTGATTCAACGTCTGACTTTAATATAGCATTTTCTCACCTTCTTAAACTACTATGAGGCCCACTCGATCTATTGGTCCGTTTGTAGCTATAAGTCGTACTGTTGAGGATAAATACGATTGAAAGTCTCGTTCAAATGTTGCCTGCTTACAAACGCAGCAAACCAAAATTTTCAATAAAAACTGTATGTATAATTTTTTTTTTTGCAAATTTTCAGCTCATGGCTTTCCTTCCTGCACCTGTGTTCAACTCTCTTTATAATGGCGGACTTTTTCCCATGCCTAGTGCGGTGACAGGAAATCAACAACCCTGTAAGTCGTTGGATCTTTTGTTTGTTCTGCTTATTATTTATTCATTTCTTTGTCTATTCAATACTCTTATAGGTGAGCTACAGACCTGTACAAGCCTAGATTAACTGAGAACATGGAAAATGGTCAAGTCAATTCATCCCGCATGCAAAAAAGCAAATAATAGTCAGAGTAGTAGAAGGAAGTTAAGACCCCTAAATCTCCCAGTTGAGGACTTGGCGGCTATATGACCAGGCTATATGGGGCTTAAGTTTTAATGTAGGCGCAAGTACAGTTGATCGATCAATAATGATTTACTTTAGGGAAAATGTGTTTCTAGACAAGGAGGAAAAGATTTTTATAAGGGAAAGGAATAAGGAAAAAAGATTTTTTCCGTTCAAAAAAATCTGGTCCAGCTTATTAAGCTGCAGTTTGGAGCAATGAATATCCTTGAGAGGTATCGTGTCTGATCGCATAAAATCACTATTGCTTGTATATGTAAGATGTAAGACTCGAAGAAAATTTTTGAATTTAGGAGAGCAAACACAGTCGGTATAATTGTAGATAGCGGAGATCGATAGTATCGCACTGGGGCTCAGTAATTTTTATAGGACTCATATTTAATATTAAGCACCATACCAACGCTGGGCATTTCCTGAACGTCGTCGGCATGGCCTCTTTTTCACGTTCTACACCAAATCATCTTTTTCGATTGATTAAATTATTAGTAATTAATCATTAATATTTAAATATGATTATATTGCCAAATTAAATAATCAAATATAATTTTATTGCAAAAATTATTCTAAATAAATTTTACCGTTTTGGTGCTAGTTTAGTTTATTAGCTTTTTAAAATATTTCAGCTCCAAAGAAGAAAATCGTCAACCCGTTCGACCCAGAAGCGAGTGTTCCGCTACCGTATCAACTTGAGGAACAGTGGGTGCTTTTTTTCTGGTATAGCGTTAACAAACCGGTTGCTGAGCCCTAAGTTCACGCAAAGGAGTGCTCGTAGATGGAATTGGCCTAGAGAAGAGGGGAGCAATTAAAATTATCTCACTACTTATTATACTGACGTAAAGAATGAACTACGTTCTGGTGGATAGTGCTGTTTTGTTTGCATAATTTGCGAAAAACTCTTTTTTTCATAGGCCATATAGTACTTCGGTATGGAAACGGAATGAACGTGAACGTTATCGGGTTCGATGTGTGAACAACGGCTACGAGACGCTGCGAAAACATTTGCCAGTATCGGACGTGTGAGTTTGCTCAGAAGTAGTTGCATTTTGTTGTTGTCATTGTTATTATTAGGTGTCATGATATTTTGAATGTTTTTGTTTAAAAATCTAATTATTAATTAGACGAACGAACCAAGCTAAAGCAGAGGTCAATGAACGCTATTCAATGCCCCCGCACTACCTCAGAAGGGGGTACTTCTTCCCTAAAATCGCATCGCGCTCACCGTACCCGATCATACGCGGCACTCAATCCACAGACGAAATTGATCAAAACCGAAGGTTTTTCCTCATCCTTTAGAAGAGTTTACGAAACAAGGGCGAAAATTGTAGGATGTCTCCAGTAAATCTGCAAAACATCTAGCCATTTTATTGAATACTGGAGAGAAACATTCCTTATAAAAAAGGAATCTGGGGCTTTTCCATTCTGTCTGTAGATATATTGGATCACTCAAACCATGCAAATTCCAGAGAAAAACGGATTTCCAAGGTTGACACCTTACGACTGGCTATTCGATATATCAAACATCTGGAAGCGGTACTAAAAAACGAGGAGCATATTTTCAAGTAAGTCTGTTTTCATCAATTAGCGATTGAGTCAGATCAAGCTGTTAATATTCGACCCAATTAACGTGCATAGGCGGTTCCACCGCGGTAGGCGGAAGTGTCTTAGGTGAGCTATGATAGTGTAACTGTATGATCATGAATTGATAAAAGCGGTTTTTTACTCGAAGAACTTTTTCAACCAATTCAAGGAACAAAATATTAGGCAGTGCGTAATGGGTTTCTCAAACAAAGTTGGGTCCTCATTCTGTTTAGTTGAAGATCCTTGCAATCTTCTCTTTGGGACCGTCAGAATATTGAAGGGTGCAGAGTGATCTCAAGAGAAGAGTAAGACTGAAAAAAGTCAATAGCGATTTGCTTCCAGCTTCGAAGTGTCCCCCTTGGCCTGAAGTTTAGCTGATTTTGCCACGTAACTGGCAACTACCTGGCCCGACACAATCTCTTCACTTTTTTTGTGCACGTCTTAACTCCTTTACCAATTTCAGGTGTGACTGCTTTCAAGGTTTCGCCGAAGAATCCGAAGGCCATGTTCAAATTGATGTGAATGTGAGGAATGTTGAACAACGATGCATCGGAATCAATCCTCCCAATGTAATTGAATGAAAATATCATCTATTAATATGAAATATTTGCAGAAAAAAAGTTATCTTCTGTTTTCTAGTCATTCCCATTTCTATGTTAACGGGTGTTCCATTTCCCATTGCAGCCTGTTCAATGGATGTAAGTTTTCAGCTCTGCGAGATGCATTTGATTGGTGTATACGGTCTGAATAAAAAAAAATTAAACTAATTGCCCACCATTCGTTGGGCCTATTTTGGCGATTTTGACCGGATACGACAGCCGGATTTGCAGCATAGTGCGAGCGCTACTCCTTTCAAAATTCTAAAGCCCCGTCCTAATGGCACACATACATTCCCAAAAATCTGTTTTAAAGGATAAAGGATAAAGTTTTTGGCGTTAATCAATCCCGTCTGTGGGATGCGCCCCCGCACTCGAACTCCATTCTGAATCGTAGTGGCGTAATGAGTGCATATGTGGCCTATACAATGACTTGCGATGGCCAGCCGATGTACAAGTCAGTGCTTTTATCCTCCCAGACGAGTCTGGTACCAATTAACCGACCCTGGAGGGATGGAAGGCTTGGTTGGCCTGGGCGGGCATCAACCCGGGATTCGAACCCCTGACCGTGCGTGTGATGTAGTGCGCCACTTGCCACTACACCACCTCCACCATAAAAATCTGTTTTAACTGGATAAATGTGCCTTCTCCGGTCGACGCTATCGTTTTGCAGAACAGTGGTTTTTGTCCTGCACGGTATGTATTACTTGCCTCTATCCTCTGTTTTAGACGCCCGCCGGGCGGTAAATGGTAACCAGGAGGCGAAGGGGTATTTGGAGACTCTAGTCATGGATTAATTGCCTAAGCCATGAAACGTCAAAGATCTCAATTACTATCTGACGGCTATTTTCGTTCTAGTTCTACCGAAACGTCCCTTACAAACTTCTTATTTTAATGAATAGAATTGTAAGAGCTATTTATTCTTCACTGCATCCTTAACATTCAACATTTTCTTCCTGCTTTTTCCTGAGGAGTCATCATTTTCACTTGCACCGCTCACGTATTTGATTTTTGAGCTCATCAATTTGCTGCCCTTTTCGATCATTCCACACTGATAACCAGTAAACGACCACATAACGGAATTTTTCGTCGTATCAGTGAAAATAGTGGAAAGATAGGAGATTGCCGAGGTCGAATAGGCAAAGTGCAGATATGGCCTTGCCCATGTCGACACTTATGAGCTACCCCTCGTTGAACTCTGACTTTTTCTCTCAAACATTACGATAAGAAAGTAGGATCAGGTCGTTCGTCATCGACTGACCTTCTCACTGCATTGATACGCCATGCTTTCGAAACAGATAATTGTAGACGTTAACATAAGTTTTTGGGCANAAACGGACTCACTATTATTTATTTTCATTATTTGTTTTATAAACAAAGAGTTCATGGTAAATAAATTGAATTTAGCGTATTATGTTTCACGCTTTATATTTTATTATATTTATAAGCTTAAAATCTATGAGTTTTTTAATAGTTATATAATTTATATAATGTAGTATAATAATATAAAATTTTATAATCGTAATATTTATAATTAATATGTTCATATTTTATTATCGGATTTCAAACTCTTCTCAAACTAGGAAGTCAATTGCGGCCCTCACCCAAGCTATCTAAAGTCTCTTATACTCCCTTTCATCTAAGGGGCACCAAATGGGGATTTGGCTGATCGGTATATTATTCTCACTTGTTTACTATTATATCCCTTTACCATATACTCTACTCCTTTTCAAAACTCGTATAAGCCGTAGAAATGGTCACTTTGAGGTCTTAATAAATACATAAATAAGTAAATGAATAAATAGATAAATAAACAAATAAGTAAATAATCTTACCCCTAATTTTCGAACAGAGTAAATAAAAATAGTTTTCTGACCGGCAACCTTTGATCTCATGCTGTCACTGCGCAGTAAGCGACACTGATCGATTGTGGTGGCGTGGCTGAGTGAATGGCCAGTTTTCAATGGTCTTTTCAACGTTCGACCTTGCTCACTTCATATGCAAGTTGCACTTTCTTATCTTGTTTATCGATTTATTGATTTACTCATTGGAATGGCTAAACGGTAAGCGGTGTCAATCCGAAAGATTCTAAAGCGGATCTTTTCGTATGTAAATCGTGGGCGGAGCTAAAATGCAATCCTTTGGGGTAATCTAGTTATAACTAAGTCGCTGCTTCTGCATCGTTGTTTACTTCCCAAATCGATTACTACACTGTTTTTGGAACCCTTTCACAATACTATTTGAGCCCTCGTTTGGATCCCATGTTTACAACCTCGAATCTCATTTTGAAATTAATTTTTAAATTATGCATATCGTTCTTTTATGTAGTTTACCATGTATATCCTTTGTTTTTTTCTGGTGCACTTTTCCTCATGCATTTCATACTTATAATAAAATTCTGGTGGCCACTCACGTGTTGTTCTTGTTGACGGAGGATTCTCGTTCACGTGTCGTTCTCCCTTCCTCACATGCGTTTTTATCTGAATTGCAGATGAATAAATAAATACCCAAATAAATAAGTGAGTAATTAACTAGTCATATTCAATCCTACCCGTTGGCCAGTCTTCTTTTTTCTGAACGTCAAATGAGGACATCGTATTTTAGTGGACTTCAAGGAGATCCAATCTTGGCGAGCCTTTCCCGTGATGCCCGTGCTTGGCCGTACCACAACAGAAAGCGCAGGAGAAACTAGTATTGATTAAGTTTACACGTGCACTCCACTTAGCTAATCCAAATTCCGTCTTAATTCTTCTTAGTTACTCCTCAACGAAAGGCTGGGAGGCTCTGAGCGGAAATCAGAATTTATAACATATAGGCGGTAGAATTTTCAGCCTGTGGAACGAGTCACGGTGAGGTAGTTTGTCCGCCCAAAACCATTGGCTACCAGTATCGGTTTTTCACTAAATCGATCTGATCATAGTCATAATCACTGTTCTTTGATTGTCCTTCCAAGATGTAAACAAATAAAACAAGCAAACCTATTGGCTGCAGACGTGACGATATCGCCTTCCTCGGAGCCTCAGTTGAGATGGAGCCTTAGCAGGCACTCTAGTAATTGCTAATTAATGGACTAACTGATTAATTAACTAATAATCAACTTTGCCGTTGTTCGAGTTTCTTCTTAATTGGAGTTTTCCGGCTATTGTAGCATCAGGAAGGCACAGGTAATGATTCGGGTCCCGCCAGAGACCAAGCGTAACTACGGCTTGCTAATACGATTCTGGAGCGTCAATCTAGCTAGCTGACTATAGCTGATTCGAACTCATCATGGGGATCACAAATTTTGTTGTCAGCTCTCTATAGCCACACTAGCCTTAACTGAGGGTTCCTCCGG